GATTAGAGCTGTACCTAGTAGTGAGAAGCATTTTATAGGAGATCTTAATGGGCATGTAGGTACTACAAGCGCAGGTTTCGAGGCAGTTCATGGAGGTTTTGGGTATGGTAGTAGGAATCAGGAGGGGGAGAAAGTTCTGGACTTAGCGGTAGCTTTTGACCTGATGATAGCCAATACTTTCTTTAGAAAGAGAGAATCTCATCTAGTGACCTTCAGTAGCGGACAACACTCTAGCCAGATTGACTTTGTCCTCGCAAGAAAGGACAAACGAGCATGCTTGGGTTGCAAGGTGATACCAGGGGAGTGTGTTGTTTCTCAACATAAGCTTTTGGTGGCAGACTTTCGTTTTCAGGTGTGTGCCCGTAGGAATAAACAAGCTAAGATTGAAAGAACAAAGTGGTGGAAACTGAAAGGAGAGACGTCAGAGGTATTCAAGGAAAGGGTTATCAAAGAGGGCTCTTAGAAGGAAGAAGAGGACATAAACAACATGTGGGAGAAGATGGCAACCAACATTCGGAAGGTGGCCTTAGAGGTGTGTGGAGTAACCAAAGGAAATAGAGGCGAGGCTAAAGATACTTGGTGGTGGAACGAGGAAGTCCAAAGGGCTATCAAAGAGAAGAAAGAATGCTATAGACGCTTGTACCATGATAGGAGTGTGGACAACATAAAGAAGTACAAGGTGGCAAAAAAGACTGCAAAGCAAGCTGTAAGTGTGGCAAAGGGTAGAGCGTACGAGGATCTTTACCAACATTTGAGTACGAAGGAAGGAGAGTACGAAGGAAAGAGAGAAGGACATTTATAGGATGGTTAGGGTTCGTGAGAGAAAGACAAGGAACTTCAACCAAGTTAAGTGCATTAAGGATGAAAGGAAACATCTCTTGGTGAAGGAGGATGAGATCCGACATCGATGGCAAGAGTATTTTGACAAATTGTTAAATGGTGAGAATACGGACACAACCTTTCAGTTGGATGACTCTTTTGATAACACCAACAGACGCTTTGTGCAGAGAATCCAAGAATCTGAGATCAGAGAGACGTTGAAAAAGATGAAAGGAGGTAAGGCGATAGGACCAGATGGTATCCCAATCGAGATGTGGAGATGCCTTGGGGACATAGCTATAGTATGGCTAACCAAGCTATTTAACCATATTTTTCGATCGAACAAGATGACTGACGAGTGGAGAAGTATATTGGTACCGATCTACAAGAATAAATGGGATATTCAAAGTTGTACTAATTACCGGGGAATTAAGTTGATGAGCCATACTATGAAGCTATGGGAGAGAGTTATCGAGCATCGCTTGAGAGCAATAACGCAGGTCTCTATGAACCAATTTGGTTTCATGCCCGGAAGGTGAACCATGGAAGCCATTTTCTTAATAAGACAAGTTATGAAGCAGTATAGGGAGAAGAAGGACCTACACATGGTTTCTATTGACTTGGAGAATGCTTATGATAAAATACCAAAGAATGTTATGTGGTGGGCTTTGGACAAACATAAAGTACCAACGAAGTACGTCGGGCTCATTAAGGACATGTACAACAATGTTGTGACTAGTGTTCGAACAAGTGATGGAGACACGGATGACTTCCTGATTAGGATAGGACTACATCAAGGGTCAGCTTTGAGCCCTTATCTGTTTGCCTTAGTGATGGATGATGTCACAAGGGACATACAAGGGGACATCCCTTGGTGTATGCTTTTCGCGGACGATGTAGTGCTAGTTGATGAAAGTCGGACAGGAGTGAATCAGAAACTGGAGTTATAACGGGAGACTTTGGAGTCCAAAGGTTTTAGACTCAGTAGAACTAAAACTGAGTATATGAGATGTGACTTCGACACTACTACTCGGGAGGAGGGAGATATTAGTTTGGAAGGTCAGGTAGTGCCTAGGAAGGATATCTTTCGATATTTAGGGTCAATGCTACAGAAAGACGGGGATAATGATGAAGATGTTAGCCATAGAATCAAAGCAGGGTGGATGAAGTGGCGCCAAGCGTCTGGTGTCCTATGTGACAAAAGGGTACCACAGAAGCTAAAAGGTAAGTTTTATAGGACGACGATTAGACTTACTATGTTGTATGGTGCAGAATGATGGCCTACGAAAAGACAACATGTTCAACAAATAAGTGTCGCGGAAATGTGTATGTTGCGTTGGATTTACGGTCATACAAGAAGGGGATCGAGTTCGGAACGATGATATACGTGATAGATTAGGGGTAGCACCAATTGAAGAAAAGCTTATCCAACACCGGTTGAGATGGTTTGGACATGTCTAAGGATGGCAACGGATCGGGTTTGGGGCGGATATCCGCGGGTTTCGGGTTCTGCAGGTTCGGGTTTGGGGATGGTTTTTCACCCACGGTTTTCGGGTTCGGGGCCCCGAAACCAATCGGGTTCGGTTTCAAGTTTGGTTTTCCACCCGTGGATATCCAATGGATATCCAAAATAAATCATTTGGAATTAAAACTCATATTTTATAATATACTAATAATAATTTGTTTACTTAGATTATTAAATTTATTTAAAGTTGACTCATGAAAATATTTATTATTTGTTGCCTCTTGTTTATATATGTGAATATGTGTATATATATACACGCGGGTTTCGGGTATCCATTCGGGTTTCGGGTATCCGTTCGGGTTTCGGGTATCCGCGGGTTTGGTTTTGGTGATGGATTTCCACCCGAATCGGTTTTCGGGGCGAATTCGGGTTTCGATTTCGGGTTTCGGTTTTGGGTGCACGGAGACTTCACCCGATCCGAACCCGACCCGTTGCCATCCTTAGACATGTCCAACGGAGACATCCAGAGGCACCAGTGCGTAGTGGAATCCTAAGCCAGGATAGTAACGTGAAAAGACGAAGAGGAAGACCGAAGTTGACTTGGGTATTGGCAATAAAAGGAGACTTGAAAGGATGGAATATACCCTAAGACTTAGCCTTAGATAGGAGTGCTTGGAAAACAGCTATTCACGTGCCTGAACCTTGATTGCTTCTGCTGGGTTTCAACTCTAGCCTACCCCAACTTATTTGGGACTTAAAGGCTTTGTTGTTGTTGTTGTATATAATATTCATGTGCCAACTGCACAAATCTTTATGATGAATTTATCATCAATTTCAACACAAACCCTTATGGTTTTGGAGTTTGGGTTGCTTAGCATAAAAACTTAATGGTAGCACAATATAAGTTCAGGCCAAGCGGAGGCACTTCTTGATAGTGGAGGCTGGAGGGGGGCAAGCATGAGGGGGTGTGCAGACAATGCAAAGACCACACATAATATTCATGTGTGCACTGCACAAATTTTGCAACGAATTTATTGCCAACCATAAAAGGACATTTTTCAAACCACAAATACTATTCTAACACAAATCATTAGGCAAAAATTATTTGTAGCCATTATTCTAACCACAAATATTTGCTTCCAACATCAGATCCACAAATCCTTAAGATCAAAATTATCAGTAACCATAACATTTCATTTCAAACCACAATTTTTGTTTTCTATGTTAGATTTACCAATCTTTATGAACAAATCAATCCTAAACCACAAGCATTAATTTTCCGGACCACAATTATTGTGTTATTTGGGCCATCTATAAAACTTCATTTCATCACAAATCCTTACAACCAAATTAATTTGAATCCAAACATTTTTATTGTCCCAGCTGTAAACTTTCATTTCCCCAACTATAAGTATTGTTTTTGGTGTCTGATCCATGGATCCTAATGGTTTGGAGTTTGGGGCTGCTAGGCATACTTCATGATAGCACAATACAAGTTCAGGACAAGCGCAGCATAACATCTTCGAGACAAGTGAAGTGACAAACTATACCTTATAAGCAATAAAATGAAAATGCTCGTGGTCGCCTCCCCTGAACCTGGCTGATGACGACGGCATGGACATGAGCCTTACAACAATCCTATTAGCTCCTGGTATCCTGAGACTGCATGAGTGATAGTGCAAAAACAGCGAGCAGCGATAACAGTTAGACCCAAATAAAGTATTCAGTGCATGCAGCAAAGCATGAGGGGGCATTAGATTAGTGCTATGTCAAAGATAGTGAAAAAACAGCGAGCAAAGATAACAGTTAGACCCAAATAAAGTATTCGGTGTATGCAACAAAGCATGAGGGAGCATTAGATTAGTGCTATGTTGACCTTTCTTGCCTATAATCAGTAGCACAGAAATGTCGAGCTCTAAAGCCAAACGAGATTAGCGCATGAACAGAGAAATCACTGGATCGGAAGCGACCTGCATCAGATCCCCTACTCCCAGATGATGGACATCGATGTTTCTCAACAAAAATGTAGTGGGCACTGAGACATATCTACACACACAAGCAGGGTCACAGATAAACAAGGATCCCAACAAGAGGTGATTTTGAAAAGCGTAAGAAGATGCTACCTTCCAGCGCTACATAATATGTCTCTTGTTCTAGTCTGCTTGGGGGTTTTGTTAGATAAGATGCTACTCTAAATGGTGTTAGCCGTAGTAGTAGTCATAATCATATTTTAAATTGCTACTCTAAATGTGTACATTCCCACACACCTGGTTTGATTTGTACAATCAAAGAAATTAACAGTGCAGTAGTAAAATGGTTATAGACAGAAGAAAATATTGAGAATTGCCACTAAGAAAATATCGATCTGTTGTGCATCAAAACGGATTGGATTAGAATAAATTCTACTCGCAACACAAGTGTTCCATCTGCATGCAAAAGGCAAATCTAATATTGAAAGTCTAATAATCATACACAAAACCAAGCGAGCCGTGTGTTCCACCATTATGCCCATTTGATCCCTTGTATTATAGAGGATTGCTTACCTAATTTCTGCAAATTTAGGCCTAGTCCATAACCTCACCAGAAACAGTGGCACCGTGGAAGTTCACCAATCAGGCGTACTCCCAAGGTCGAGTGAAGGGGCATGCGAGATCCAGCACAGGTAGCCACGCCATCGTCCCCAGAACTCGTGTCTTCCATCCCTGCACACGCCAGAATGGGAGGGAAGAGGCCGTGGACGCAGGAGAGGGAGGTGAATGCCATCGCCTGTCGGGAGGAAGGGCGCCGCCGCAGATGTAAGGCCCATGCCGTCAGATCAACGGTAGTCGGCTCTGGACTTGAGGAAAGCCGAGGAAGTCGTTGCCAGGGAAGGAAACGGCGCCGCCGGATTCGGATGAAGCTGGCCCGTCGCCTGCCGCTGCTACCATCGATGAGGGGAGCGGCGACTCGGTCAGATCCGACTTGGAGGGGCCCGCCTCCCGCCGACGCTGCCACCCGTGGGGGAGAGAACGCCGTCGCCGCTCACGGGAAACAACAGCAGGCACACAGGCTTTTTTTCAGAATACGCGTGGAGCTTCATCTCAGCCGGGACAACATCTACCGCGAACCCCTTGCCGTGCAGCCGCTAGTAGTCGGCATCGGGATGATCCTGTACCTCTCGTCATGGTGGCGCACCAGCTCGCCGCGCGCGCGGCCAGATTGGGTTGAGCCGGCGATGGGAGCGGTCGAAGGCTGCGGAGGCGTCGGAGGCCGCTGAACACGCCTCGGAGGCTGCGGAGGCGAGGGGGAGGCGGCGAGCTAGGCTCGTGAGGGGCAGCGGCGAGCTGGGGTCGTGCGGCGGAGGGGCGGTGAGCTAGGGTTGTGCGGCGGTGGGGGCGACGAGCTGGGGCGAAACCGACGTCTCCTCCGGGTCCTCCCCACGATACGGAGGTTAGCGCCCCGTTCGCTTAGTACAGTTGACTGATGGATTGCGACAGAAAAAAAAATATTCGTTCGACGAAAAAGTATGATTTATAAACTAAACACGTCCAAACAGGATGTAGAACGGAAAAAAAAACAGATACGATAAAAATAAAGAGGAGGTGGATGCGGAAGAAAAAACGGAGGGACCGAGCGAGCGCCCATGGATAGGGTTGTAATCACTGCAAAGGGTAATTAATTAATTAATATATATATATATATAAATATTCTGTATAATACTATTCTACTCCAAGCTGTTACACTGAACAAAATTCAGTACGGTTTAGTAGTCGCGTTTTAGTATTTTTTAGTATTTCGAGGTATTAGATGTAGTACTGACTTATACTGAACGCGGTTTAGTACTATTTAGTTTTTTTTTATCAGTTTTGCCTTGCGGCGTAGAATAATTCTACACATATATGTAGAATAGCGTTTCCTAACGTATTGAGAATCCTCTAGATAGAATATATAATAAGCATCAATAAAAGAAACGTCTCTCGTCCAATAATGCTTCCTCTTCTTCTTTGTGGCCCACGAGCCGGCCTTTTCTGCTTTTCCTTTTCCTTCTTTTTTTCCCTACACAGCCAGCGGCCGAAGATAGCAGTAGCAGTGGCCCTAATCCCTCCCTCCAGCAAGCCAACGCGGCCCACCGATGCTCGCGGCCCACTCTGTCTCGCCCGGGGTCAGCCCAACAGCCCATACTGTCACCTCGGCCCATGCGAAAAACAGCCCCACACCATCACCCGGCTTGGTCTTGTGATGCGTGGGCCGCTCACCTTGACTAGCTGCCATGTTCCCCTAAAAAAAACTAGCTGCCATGCTGGACCCACCGATCAGTCCTTCCTTGTTCCTCGAGCCGTGCAGAGGTCGGACTCCTCCGAGGGACTCTCTCAGACTGACTCCAACGGCGTGACCCAAACCCAAAAATGGATCGTTCACAGTGCTTTTACCGGTAAAAACAACCTCCAACGGAGTACCCAAACGAGCGACGCATTTTGGGTTGGTACCGACGCGCGACGCAAACATGCGTCCTCTCTTCGTCGTTCTGCGTCTCCACCCAAAGCGCAGCTCGAGAGAGCGCATGCTCGTGGCGCCTCTTGCTCGTCGCCATGGAACGCTGCTCGAGCTCCGGGGCGATTTCAAACCACCAATCTTGAATCCAAGAGTATGGGAAGGAAGAGGAGAGGTAGGGGATGCATGGAGGCTACCCACCTCGGTCTATTCTTTGCTTCAAGGAGGAGATCGACTCATGAACTTCACCTCGGAGAGAGAAGCTAAGAGAGAGGATTTGTGAACCAAGAAGACACGGTGGTGCGCGCGTGTGGCGCCACGAAGTCAGTGGGCGGCGGTGGCAGAGCCACCTTTCGGTGGAGTCGCGCGCGCTGCTGCGCCGCCATCCTCTCCGGCAATGAGGCGAGGCGGCGTCCACCGCGCCTCGCGCTCAAGGCGCTCACGCCTATCCCCTCCGGCAGCGGCAGCTTCGTCCACGCCCGGCCTCGCGCTCGCGGTCGCGGCCGCCATCCCCTCCGGCATCTACGGCCTCATCCACGCCCGGCTTCCCCTCGCGCTGTTGGAGATGGATAAATTTTGGGTGGCCACGCTTTCACTGTACACGACGCAAAGATGTTGTATTTGGGTCCTCTTCGTTGGAGTCAGTCTCGTAGGTCTGATCTTCATCTGATGCTCCCAGATGCGTACCCATTCAAGCATCATAGTCGGTCCACCTCCACCATAGGCCATAGAACATGACCACCGTCCCGGTCCATGACCACAGACCACTTGACAACTGACACGTGGCTGCCAAGGCGCCTGCAACAGAGCCTCTTTTGCAAAAGGACCCTTCTATTTTGGGGAATTCATCTGCAATCTCCTCCCTATTCAAAATAATTAATTGACAATCCTATCTCCCTATTTGTTTTAAAAAATAGGATATGTAGTCCAGGAGGAGCGGTGGTGGTGATAGCAGGAGGCTTTGGAACCGTTTAAGGGAGGTTCCAATGTGGAATTAATGATGGTCTCTATCTCTATTAATTGAGATGCCACCTAAGTAAAACACTGACATGACAACCTAATTAATGAGGAAAGAGAGAAAAAATTGAGGAAACCATTTCCTCTTAGAGAAACGACATCGGCTCTTGAACTGAGGGAGGAAGAAACTGCAATTTTTGCGTTGGGAAGAAACCATCGGTTTCTACAGGTGGGGACCACGATGCGCGCTCGCCCGCACAGCTGCGAGCTTGCCTGTGTTACCGCGCACGGCCACCCACTGGAAACCTCGCGTGCTGGCTCACCGGCCACAATGTGTCCTCGCCCGCCGGCCCGCCTGCCCGTCAACGCCGCACGAGCTCTCTTGCCAGCCATTGCGCGACCTCCCTCACCGGTCGCGCCCGCCCCGCTCGGCCAAGCCCGCCGGACCTGCTCGCGCACACCATCGTGCCCGCTCGCGTTGCTCGCCCCGGCGGCCTCCACTGCCCCCTCCTCCTCTCACCTATTGTGCTTCTTCTTGCTCGGGGAGTCCGGTCGGAGGAAGAAGATGGTGCTAGGAGAGAGAAAGAGGAAAAAAGCAACATTTATTATAGGAAGACCCCTCCACTGTGTGGGGGTAGGGGTAGTTTCTACGAGTAGTTTCTTGCTCATGTGGCTACTATAGAAACCGTGTGTAGTTCCTATCATTGGGACTGCCCTTAAAAGCGGATTCCCTGTGCGAGCACGCGATAATCATGCTAAATACATGTGATTTTTTCACCGCCTCAGGCAACGTACTACGGGGCTTGAACTGCGATCATGATTTTTGGTACCACAGCTCTCCCACCGCAAATGGCGTAACGCACCGCGCGGTGGACATCCCGTGTGGAACGATGACCGGCAAAATCGCGACCGCGATAAACCGAATGCGGCTTGAATCCGTTAATTTGCGATTTTAGCTTCCGCAGTTCATTTTCCCACTTCTTCGGTTACGCGCGACCGACCAACGCGTGAAAATCACATGACGTTCGGTGGGGTTTTCTCTGGCGTCTCGCGTATAAGCGCCACAAACGCGGAACCAAACACGACCATAAGATGAACCAAACAGGGCCGGAAGCTGGAACCGCATAAGCTCTGATTTTTTTTTAGATTTTAAGAGGTGGGAGGGGAAACACCATTTTTGGTGGCGCCCGATCTCCAACTAGATTTTTTTAATCTTTAGAGACAAGAGTGGAAACGTCATTTTTTGTCGCGACAACTAGATGATGATGATGATGATGATGATGATGATGATGATGATGATGATGATGATGATAATAATAATAAATTATTATTATTCAGAGACGAGACTACCTAGCAACACTATTTTTGGTGGCGTACGCAGGACCGTCTCTATTAAGAATCGTTAATAAAGACGTCCTCTAGAAAGCATTTATGTCTGTGTTGTGAAGGCAGTGGTGAGCAGATTACTGCTTATAAAATTATAATAATCATGTTTCTGAGTAATAGATGGAACAGTCTTTTCTTCAAAAAGAAAAATGCAATATACTGACCAGAAGCACATCATGTTCTAATAAAAAAACAGTTGTCGCTTCCAATTAGGCAAATAAATCGGATTCACCGGACCGAAGTCTATGAGGAGCCGTGGTTGTGATAGCGGAAGCTAGACTCAGAGCAGAGCTGGATGTTTTTTTTTGGATTTTCTAGGGCTCAAGCTCCAGCTAGTTTTTTTTTAATTATTATTTTCGGAGGCGGGAGTAAAAACACCATTTTTGGTGGCATACGAGCTCCAGCTGGATTTCTTTTTTATTTTCAGAGACAGGACTGGCAACACCATTTTTGGTGGCGTACGCAGGACCAACACCGTTAAGAATCATTGATAGAGACCATCTTCCAAAGGCGTCCTCTAGAATACATTTATGTCTGTTTGTGAAAAACCAAAACATAGCAGTGAGCAGATTACTAATTGAAAATATGATAACCATGTTTCTGAGTAATCAACGAAACTCTCTTTTCTTCAAAGAAAAAATACAATGTATAAGCAATAAAATGAAAATGCTCATGATCGCCTCCCCTGAACCTGGCTGATGACGACGGCACGGACATGAGCCTTACAACAATCCTATTAGCTCCTGGTATCCTGAGACTGCATGAGTGATAGTGCAAAAACAGCGAGCAGCGATAACAGTTAGACCCAAATAAAGTATTCAGTGCATGCAACAAAGCATGAGGGGGCATTAGATTAGTGCTATGTCAAAGATAGTGAAAAAAACAGCGAGCAAAGATAACAGTTAGACCCAAATAAGTATTCGGTGTATGCAACAAAGCATGAGGGAGCATTAGATTAGTGCTATGTTTACCTTTCTTGCCTATGATCACTAGCACAGAAATGTCGAGCTCCAAAGCCAAACGAGATTAGCGCATGAACAGAGAAATCACGGGATCGGAAGCGACCTGCATCAGATCCCCTAGCATATATGCCGACATTTGAATGAATAGCAAACTCTAGAACGTGATCTAATGCGAACAAAACAAAGAGAGAGAGGGATGCGGGTGGCAAACCATCGGCCGTCTTTGCAGAAGACGAGCTGGCCATCGCGGTGCTCGGTGGAGGCGCGGCAGTGAAAGGCAGCGTTGGCTGGTGGCGGTGCTTCCCGTCGCTGGCAACGCCTCCTCACTTCGATCGGCTTAGGGTTAGAGGTGTAGGTGGGGTGTCTGGCGGCACAGGTGATTCTCGTGCCTTGTGCCCTGGCCCCCACCTCTCTTTTTATGGCGCTGTGCGACGGGGGCCCACCAACCATAGTTAGGGTTGAGCGCCCCCGATCAGGACGC